TTTTCAAGTACTACTAATATCTATTAAAAATGTCGAAAACATGAAATCTACAGGAAAGGAAAAAAAAAAAGAGAAAAGAACTTTATTAAGACGTAAATTCAGGAAAATAATTTTATGAAATTTCATAATTTGAAGGCTTATGATATATCGATTTCAATTATATTGAAATAATTGATTTGTCACATCAGACCTGCCGAATTATCAAATTATTGATTTTTTTATAACAAAAGATAGTTATGTTTTACGGAAAGAGAAAACCGGTTGGGCCAATGGACTTTTGATGCTTATCCAATCACACGCAGTCTAATTATACGACCATGAAAATCTAGCTGGATTGTATCTGTATTACCACACGCGCAAACGTCAAGTCTAATCGCTCATTTTAATTTCATTTTTGTATCCGTAACCTTTTATTTAATGTCTGTTAAATTTAATAACGTTAAAACTGAATTTAACGCCAATTAAAAGTAATATATCTCAAATGAATTTGAAATGTCATATCTGAAATAGATATCGAAAAAGGTACGTCCTGCTTGTTTTCGTATTGAATGGCTTTCGATTATTAAAAGCTATTTTGGTCTTTTTATTTGCATTATAATTACTTTCAACCTGACCAATTAGTTGCGAGGACTTTAACTCTTTTTTTTTCCCTAACCAACAAATTAGGTGAAATGAAAATGTTGACTTTTACTTGGGTAGTGTGAGACTGTGAGTATCAACTTTCGAACCTCCACTATTTTGCACTTTTTTCTAACAATACTCGATGCCTCGAAGTAACGGTAATTTCATTTTTAGAAATTATCAAGTCACTTATGCGTTTTTGACGGTGGCCAAAAGTCGTGATTTTGTCATAGCTAATGAGTCGGTTAGCTTACACATTCAATTACTCGAGACGCTCAATTTAAACGTTTTAAAATGTTAACATCTCTCTCACTATTATTTGCTGTAAAATTTCGTAAGATACCGCTTAAATTTGGCATTTAGCGTGACGACAAGAGTTTTATCTTTACACAGAACCAACAAAACAATAGAGTAATTTTTAAGATATACCTCAGCTACTTAACCGGAAGCGGTTGATTTAAACCGGCGCGTGCAATCAAACTCCCAACTGCCGCCAAATCTCTACAAAACAGTCCTCTCAACAGATTTAAATTGTTGTTATTCTTCAACACAACCGCTTTCACCGCTTTATTATCATCGATCGATTTTCGATTGCAGACGCCGTTTCTACCGTTTTGATGTCACTCATTACAGCCGAGTGTCCCTTCTGGGTCAATCTATAGAGTAACAGAGATGACGTTTTGGCACGATTCTTAACCGAAGCTAATTCTTCCTTATCGGTTAACTCAAACCGGTCTATTGAAATCATTGTTCTCTCCGGTTTATGTCTTAGATTCAGCAACAAATAAGCCCTATTCAGCTCCGATCTCGTGCACCCACGTTCGATTCCCATCGAGTAATAATCCACATAACCGGTCTCTCGGTTCGTGATTTTCTCCTTCATTTGGTTTGATTTTAGTGGCCAATACACATAAATTACCCGGGATCTCTCTGTACCGAACACTATGCCGTTTCCAAACCGGACCGGTTCTTTTCCGGTCACGTAAAATCGAATTGAAAAGGAGTTTCATGTGTTCTAGATCGTGAAGCGAATCTGGGAAACACCGTATCGATTCGAGCAATTCCGATCTGGTTTCTAAAGCTTGAAGGCACGACGGATTTAAAGCTAGGATCGTGTTGCAATCGGCGATTGAATCTGCGATTCGTCCGGTGGATTTGTAGACGGAGGCGCGATGGAGTAAGCATTCGACGACGAAACTCCGCGGCGCACCGCGATGGCTGTCTACGATCTTAGAGAAATGGCGGATGGATTCGGAGTAGAGACCGGCGTCGAGTGCGGCGAGAGCCGCCGTGCGCCTTCGGAGGAGGAGTTTGATCTGTGAGAGCGTTTGCGATACGATCTCTGATTCGGTGTTTGGTCGCGGCTGAGATGCGGAGGCGAAAAGGACGAAGTTATCATCCGACCAGTTGATGCTTTCGCGGCGGAGCTCCGCCGTGACGAGGCGTTTACCGGTTTGGAATAGGATCATCGCGTCCTCCATTAGACCTAGATGGTAAGAAGCTTGACCCAAAACCAAGTATCTGGAAATAAAAACCGGATCCGAATCAACACGGGTCGGGTTAAATCAAAATTGGTGTCAGAAGAACAGTGAAATACCTCCATTGCCCTTGTATTTGGGAGTTATTACTTAACCTTGCCATGACATTCTTCTTCAAGTAGGAAACAGAGAAACATTTCAACGGTGAGTCACTCGGAAGAAGAAGAAGCCTGAGAGAAGAGAGCTCCGATGAAGAGACACTGTTGCTATCTTCGCTATGAGCTCTGAGACTTGGGATGCAAATCGGCGATTTCTTTGAAGCGACGAAGGTAGAGAAGCGATCTGGCTTTGAGTTCAAGAGCGAGTTCGTGGCGAGGAGAGAGAGAAAGCGTTGAGTTTAAGAGGTTGAGAGCTGATACGACGTCGTTTGGGTCCTGGCTTGTTATCAAGCTCTTTACGTTCTTCATGTACTTGTCTACTCTCTAGAAATGATAAAACATTTTCGAACTCAATGGAGAGATACAGATTACATATAATCCAATTAGAACAAAGTATTTATGAATATATAGTACTAAAGACCTGAATCTATAAATCGAATTGCTGAAAGAAAAAAGACACCTTTCTCTTGCGTATCGATCGTGGATAAAGCGCCATTGCACAAATTTTATGGTTTTTGGATTCGCCGGAAATTTTATGTAAATTAGTTTATGGTTACTGATTCTTCTTATATATGTTTCACTTTTTGGACTTTTTGGACTAATTAGTTTAGTCTACAAATGACATAATAGTTTTTATTTTCTC